TCCTGCTATTCTGTCATTGTCTGAAACATCCTGCTCCTCAAAGGCAAGACTGCTGTCTATATGTGAAGAATAATGGGTGCACAGACAGATATCCTGTCTTCTCCATGAGCAGCGAGAAGAACACAGTAGGTTGTGTTTCTAGTCAGCATGAAGCAGTGCTTTTTTCCCAAACTGCTTCTGAGGATACATGAGCAACACTGGTTTCATTGTTTACTTTTAAAAAAAAAATCTATTGCTGCTACCCCCACCCCTTTTAACAGAGGTTTCAAAGGGGGAAAGGAAGAGAGAAGATGTAAGAGAAAGATAAATCTAAAACAAGCTATACACTGAAATTAACTGGAGGATCCTTTCAACCTAGAAAATCTCCTAGAAATTGATAGAGGCCTAAAGACAGATACCCCGTAGGGAGCAAGGAAAGCTGGTGTGTGTGAGACTCTGTGTTCCACATTGTTATAATGAATCCACATGGCAAATCCTCTTTTCCTCCTTATTTTCTGCTTCTTCACCCATGGAATTTATTCACAGCATCTTTATCTGGATGTGAAATCCAAGACATTGTGAAAAAGTCAGAACAATGGTAAAGTTGGCTTGTTTCATCTGCTGCCTTGGAAACCTGCACACGTTTCATTTTCCGCTAAGTGTAAAACACACACAGATGCTTGATACTTAAATGGTTATTGAAATTCCTATAAATACTCAAGGTAACAAATTGAGTCATTCCCCTCTCTCCAAATTAGTATTATAAAATGTAGCAACTAAGTGAAGAATAGAAAAGCCAAAAGAAAAATGGTATTTAATATTTCTGTTATCTGATAAATAACATGTTAGTCTCCCCAGTCTCTCCAGCTGCTGCCTGTTTGGATTCTTCTTGTTCTGAACTACAAACCAGCATAATTTTCTAGAAATCTGTTGCTTCTTTCCCTTTTTTATGGCAAAGAAGTAATCTATAAATATAATTTATAAGGTTGGAACAGATTAAGAGTATTATTCAAAACTAGGAAATGGCACAAAATGGTTATCAGCCTTTCTAGCCTCAGAATTTCATGCCAACACATGATAATTTCATCACAGAGAAAAAAAAAATTAAGAGGACAGTGAGTGCCAGAAGTGAAACAACTCTATAAAGATGCTTTTACTTACAGAAAAAAACAAGTATTATTTGGTAAGCCAACAAATAAAAAAAAACACAACCCCTCAGTCCACCTCTTTTTAAACTAAAGTAGAAAAGATGGAGTAAATAGATGAAGTCAAGGGAAATACTGCTTGTTTTAATGAAAAATATGTTTACCATCATCTTATTTGGGCCATTCCCTGCACTTAGGAGAATAAAAGCAGAGGGTTTTAATGCAGCTGGGTTTTAATGACAGAATCAGGCATTAGCTTTTAAGCCTTTCAAGTGTCATACTTGAAAAACCACAAAGTAATACAAGCAATTAGTGACACACCCTTTCACATTTTGTCATGATCAAAAATAGCTTGGCTTGTAGCAACACGGGAAGCAACAAGCTATAAACCATGTCAGGGGTGGGACAAAAATACTGAAGCTCAGTAACTGGCTTGTGTAGGTGCACCTGTCAGGTATGGCAAACATTTCATTTTGATGATATTCAGAATTGAGAGTCAAAATGTTTGGATTAAAATCTTAATATTTCTTTCTTCATTCCAGGAGTGCATTAACACAAAACCCTCAGGATCTATTACCAGGTTTCCACCATCTTATTTTCAGGAGCAGTGGTTGGTTATCCTTAAGTACTGAATTATTTAAACTGATTGAATTGTACTTTTCTGGTCTAACACGCAGATGAGATTTTACAGTCTATCTCTTTTTAGCCAAAGTTACTGCCCATGTTTGGAATTTAAATAATGGTTTATAATTCTCTACCTTGAGGGAAAGGAAAGATGGAGACACGATGTGGGAGAGTTGGGTGTGTGGAACACTCCCTGAGAGCAAAATATTGCTGTTCTCTGGTATTTTTAAGCCCTCTGAACATATGGTCAGAGCAGCAGATACTAAATTGTTCCATAATGAACATACCCACCCCACTCAACCCCCACTTTTTTTCATCTAGCAACTGAAATATCTCTTATTTAGAAACTTTTTTGCAAAGCCTTAACACTGATTTTGGTATTACTTTTGCATCCTTCATCTGAAAGCCAGATATTCTGGATGGCTCTTGTACAAGTGGGTGGGTGGCAGGGGAACAGAGACTGTAAAACTAGCAGAATTTCTGATATACACAAATGGCTTAAATAGCTTTTTCCTTTAAGGTAAATTACTGAAGTATTAAAATGAAGTAGTTTGCATCTTTTAAACACAGACTGCATATTGCTTGGAGTAATTCCTGTTTGAAGTCAGCTGTCATACAGCTCTGAATACACAGAGCATTTCTACTTAAATATTGGAAATAGAAATGTCATGGTAAACATTGTAAATATAACTTGTATTTTTTGGATAAATGATATTTAAGGAAAGTGACAAT